TAAATGGTTTTCCACCCCCTCACTTTCAATCTAGGGGTGTCTTTGGGTCTAAAATGAGTCTCTTGCAGACAGCATATCGATGGGTCTTGTTTTTTAATCCAGTCTGATAGCCTGTGTCTTTTGATTGGGGCATTTAGCCCATTTACATTCAGGGTAACTATTGAAAGATAGGAATTTAGTGCCATTGTATTGCCTGTAAGGTGACTATTACTGTATATTGTCTGTGTTCCTTTCTGGTCTATGTTGCTTTTAGGCTCTGTCTTTGCTTAGAGGACCCCTTTCAAGATTTCCTGTAGGGCTGGTTTTGTGTTTGCAAATTCCTTTAGTTTTTGTTTGTCCTGGAAGCTTTTTCTCTCTCCTTCAATTTTCAATGACAGCCTAGCTGGATAGAGTATTCTTGGCTGCATATTTTTCTCATTTAGTGCTCTGAATATATCCTGCCAGTCCTTTCTGGCCTGCCAGGTCTCTGTGGATAGGTCTGTTGCCAATCTAATGTTTCTACCATTGTAGGTTACAGATCTCTTCTCCTGAGCTGCTTTCAGGATTTTCTCTTTGTCTCTGAGACTCGTAAGTTTTACTATTAGATGTCGGGGTGTTGACCCATTTTTATTGATTTTGAGAGGGGTTCTCTGTGCTTCCTGGATTTTGATGCCTGTTTCCTTCCCCAAATTAGGGAAGTTCTCTGCTCTAATTTGCTCCATTATACCTTGTGCCCCTCTCTCTCTTTCTTCTTCTTCTGGGATCCCAATTATCCTAATGTTGTTTCGTCTTATGGTATCGCTTATCTCTCGAATTCTGCCCCTATGATCCAGTAGTTGTTTATATCTCTTTTCTCAGCTTCTTTATTTTCCATCATTTGGTCTTCTATATCACTGATTCTCTCTTCTGCCTCATTTATCCTAGCAGTTAGCACCCCCATTTTTGATTGCACCTCATTAATAGCCTTTTTGATTTGGACTTGGTTAGATTTTAGCTCTTTTACTTCTCCAGAATGGGTTTCTCTAATAACTTCCATATTTTTTTCAAGCCCAGCTAGTCTTTAAAGTGATGATTCTGAACTCTAGATCTGACATCATACTAATGTCCGTATTGAGTAGGTCCCTGGCAGTCGGTACTACCTCTTGTTCTTTTTGTTGAGGTGATTTTTTCCGTCTTGTCATTTTGTCCAGAGGAGAATAGATTAATGAGAGAACAAAATGCTAACAGGGTAACAACGTTCCCAGAAAATATACTGTAAACAAATCAGAAAAGACCTGAAGCAGTGGGAAAAAAAAGGGAAAGAGAGAAAAAAGAAAATGATAAAAAATAGAAAAAGATAACGATAAAAACAAACAAAAACAGAAAAAAACAAAACAACAACAACAAAAAACCAGAATGTGATCAAATATGATCAGGCTGGTATATAGATCAGTGCCACACACTAGATTTTGGGTGTATTTTGGTCTGTTAAAAGAAAGTGCCTCCCAAAATTTTAAAGAAAGAAAAACTTATATATGTACAAAAATAAGGGTTGATATGATGAAGGGATGGAATAGGACTGTAAAGGTGGAAAGTATAAAAAATTTTATAAAAGGAATTGATAAGAAGTTGTTTGAAAAAAGAAAGAAGAGGATTTAAAAAAAGAAAAAAGAAAAAAAATAAAGGGAGAGAATGTGATCAGGTAGAGGAGTAGAAAAAAACCATATACTAGAGATTTAGGGTATATTTTGATCTGTTAGAAGAAACTATGTCAAAATTTTAAAGAGAGAACAACATATATATATGCCAAAAATACGGGTAACTACTAGGAAGGGATAGAATATGACTCTAAAAATGAAAAATAAAAATGTTTTTTTAAAAAAGGGATTGATAAGATGGTTGAAAAAGGGAAAAAGAAAAATTCAAAAAAAAGAAAAAAAGAAAAAAAGACAGTTAAAAAAAAATTAACTTTGAAAGACTAAAGATTCATGGTAAAAAAAAGCCATGAATTCTATGTGCAGTATTCCCCTAGCGCTGGAGTTCTGCCGTTCTCATTGATCGGTAAACTTGGTCTTGGCTGGCTGTTCTCGCTGATCTTCTGGGGAGGGGCCTGTTGCCGTGGTTTCCAAATGTCTCTGCCGGAGGCGGAATAGCCCCGCCCCTGCCCCCTCCCGGCTAAGTAATCTGCTCGGGTTTGCTCTCCGGGGCTTTTGTTCCCTGCGAGCTTTCCCTACAGCTTTGGAGGCGGAGAGTGAAAATGGCAGCCTCCCAATCTCCGCCCTGGAGGAGCCGGGAACTCGGGGCCCCACTCCTCAGTGAACCCCCAGAGAAAAGCTGTCAGTCACTCCCGTCTCCCGGTCTCCGGCCACACTCTCTGCTCACCTGGCCCGCGACCGCGCATTTCTATCTCTGGCACCTGACTTGGCGCGGAGTCTCCAAACCCAGCAGATCCTCGCGGTGCACTCCCACGTGGCTCCTCCCCGGGGAGGAAGGTGAGTCTCCCCGGATCTGCCACTTTTTGGGTCCCTGCTGGAAGCACAGTGGCCCGACTGTGCCGCGGATCACGGTTTAGGGCAACCCCGGGCTGAGAGCCCGCGCCTGGGCTCCGCCTCTGCAGCCGGCTTCCCTGCTCCGTTACCTGGGAGCTTTGCTGCTCTCAGGCACCCCCGGTCTTTCTGTGTCCCCAAGGGTCCTGAGACCACACTGTCCCGGAGGGTTCCACCCCCCGCTCAGCCACCAGAGTGACGTCCCTCGGCGGAGCAGACTTTTAAAAGTTCCGATTTTGTGCTCCGCGGCTCTATCACTTGCCAGAAGCGGCCGACGGAGGCCCCTCCCCCGCCGTCTATCCTCCCGAATATCGCCTCGGATTCACTTCTCCGCACGTCCTACCTTCCAGAAAGTGGTCGCTTTTCTGATGAGAGAGTTGTTGCTCTTCTTTTCTTCGATCTCCTGTTGAGTTTGTAGGTGTTCAGAATGGTTTGATCCCTATCCAGCTGAATTCCTGAGAGGAGACGAAATCCAGGTCTCCTACTCCTCTGCCATCTTGCTCTGCCTCTCTGAGTTACTTCTTAACCCTCACTCCTGCTCTGACAGTTTCACACCCACTCTATAGACCTTAATCTGAAGGTGCCTATTTGGATTATTGTGATGTTTTCTCCTGTTAAAATATACCCAGATGCCCATTTTTTAGTTAATCTATTTATTTTGAGATAATTGTAAATTCTCATGTAGTTGTAAGCAACAGTACTGAGAGATCCTGTGTACCTTTTATCCAAGTTTTACCCCAGTGGTAATATACTATAAAACTATAGGATGCTATCACTACACACATCAACATTGATATAAGTCACCAGTAATATTCATATTTCCTGAGTTTTACTTGCACTCATGTATGCATGCACAGGTATTTTTAATTCTGTACATTTATCACACATGTACATGTGTGTATCCACCATCACAGACTAGATGCAGAACTGATCCATCACCACATGGATCCCTCAAGCTGCCCTTTTATTTTTTTATTTTTATTTTTAAAAATTCAATTTATTTGAGAGAGAGTGAGAGAGTGAGAGAGAGAGCTTGAGCGGGGTAAGGGGCAGAGGGACAAGCAGATGCCCCGCTGAGCAGGGAGCCCAATGCAGGGCTTGATCCTGAAACTCCAGGATCATGACCTGAGCTGAAGGCAGACACTTAACCGACTGAGCCACCCAGGGGCTCCTCATGCTGCCCTTTTATAACCACATCCACCTATACCACTCATTCACCCTGATCTCTGACCTCTGGCAATTGCTACCCAATTCTCCATTTCTAGAACTTTGGCTATTCAAAACTGTTATATTTAATCCATACTATATGTAACCCTTTGAGGTTGGCTTTGTTTTTTCAACTCAGCATTCTTCCCATGAGATTCACCCAAGTTGCTTTGTGTATCAATAGTTTGTTCCTTTTCATCATCGAGTGGGATTCCATGGTATGGATGTACCACAGCTTCTTTAACCATTCACCCTTGAAGAGCACATAGGCTGTTCTCCCAGATGGCTGTGTTTGACTGTTACCAGTAAAGCTGATATGAACACATACATATAGGGGTTTGTAGAAATATAAGTTTTCATTGCTTTGGGATAAATGCCCAAGAGCCCAATTGCTGGATTGTATGCTCAGCCCATGCTGAGTTTTGCAGGAAAGTACCAAAATGTTTTCCAGAGTGCCTGTACTATTTACATTTCCCCCAGCCATGCATGAGTGATCCAGTTTGTACATATCCTCATTGGCATTTGACGTTGTCACTATTTAAAAATTTTAGCCATTATGGTAAGTGTGTAGTGCTAGCTCACTGTGATTATAATTTGCATTTTCCTAATGGCTAATAATGTTGAACATCTTTTCATGCACCTATTTGCCTGATGCTTATGTTTAACCTGACTCCACCTAAAAATATTAGAAACATAAAGGACAGGAGATAGGATTTGCCTTAAAAAAAGCAAACAAACAAACAAAAAAACCCTGCCAGATTTTGATTCCCAAACCCAGTCCTAGATATAGCAAAGAGAGCTCGCCATAGCTCCATTATTTATTAGAGTTCTAATATGTTTCTAAAGCATGGGCATTTTAGTCAAATGCAGTTACCCCTAATTATAATAGCACTCCTTTGAGCAAGATTAAAAGACTGATGAAACTTTTTTTCATTGAGTTTCAATTTTGTATTAGGAAGCACATATTAATTTTAGGCATCCTGTATGAGTTACCACTGTTATACGTTTTATTTGAAGATATTCTGATTGGCTTCTTTAATCTGCAGTAATCTATTTATATACTAAAAGTACATTCATTTCCTATCTCTTTGTAAATGTGTTCAGGGGCACTTGTTTGTTAAAGAGAGTGCATTTACAAATGCATTTTGTTTCATTTTTAGATTATTTTTTAAAAGCTTTAAGACTGCTTAGGCTCTCAAAAAGCTAAATGCAATTACCTTCGCATTTTGTTTTCTTTCCAAATAGACAATTTGTCTCTTTCCTTAAATGTTTTTTCTTTATCTTTAACAGGTTGATTTAGTGAATATCGGAAGCACTGACATAGTAGATGGAAATCACAAACTGACTCTTGGTTTGATTTGGAATATAATCCTCCACTGGCAGGTAAGAATCCTGATGAATGTTTCCTTTTTGTGTAAAATGTTGCTGATCCTTCCTTTCATTTTTACCCCTTGACCTGCAAAGCAAACATGTATACCTCTGGCAATACAAAGCCCATCTCCATAGCACTGCCTTTTAAATTGGCACAACTGATGTCATTTGAAATGTGAGGATCAGCAGATTATAAAACAGGTTCTAGAACATTGCAAGAATATTTTTCTAAATTTTACTTCCATTGTGGAGATGAGCCTAAAAAGACATTCTCATCAATAGGTTAAGAAAAATATTTTTCACAAATATGTGTCTTCTATAATTCACCTATACACAAATCTACGTAGTTTCGTAAAAACTGTTCATGACTACCAAATGAATGAGACTTTGTGAATCCTTTGTATTCCTCAATATAAATTAATGCCAATAAAAGATTGGTGGGGTATGATTATCTGTATATATGTTATACACACTAACTTCATAACCTGCTTTGGGAATTACATTTTTTTTTCTGAACACCTCAGCATAGGGTTTTCTGAATGTCTATACTTACTGGACCTCTGCAAAAATGGATCAAAGGTCATTTGGTTTAGTAAAAACAGTATACGTTTTTTCAGTCAGACCAACATGAACTTAAATTTCAACTCTCCCATTTACCATCTTGTCGTGACATTGGGTATAATGCCATCCGTTTCTGGGCCATAATTCCCTCACCGTTGAAAGAGAAAAAATAATAATTAACACGTATATTTCTTGTCAGGATTAAAGGAAAGAATATCTACAAGGCACTCAGTGCACTATGCTGTTGTCACTACAGGTGTATCAAATGAATAATTTTGATTGCTTGGAGTTTTGTACTCATATGTTAAGAACCTGGAGGAAAATTGGGATGTCTGCTCTTTTACTAGCAGTGATTAATTTTTTATAAAAAATTTTTTTGATATGTAACTTATATATCATAAATTTACCCAATCTAAGTATAAAATTTAAAGTGTACCAACTGGTTTAGTTCTCTTGCCCAGGGCTTTTCAAATTATTTTGAGCAAGGAACAGTTTTTCCCCCAATCCATTAAAGGTTTTGGGATATTTACAGGGTTGTACAACCATGAAAACAATCTAATCTAATTTTAGGCCTATTTATGGTCATTCCCCACTCCAACCCCCAGCCCTGGGCAACCATTTATGTATTTTTTGTTCATTTGTCTGCCTTTTTGGATATTTCATATCAATGAAGTGATATAATAAGTGTTCTTTTATATCGAGTTTCTTTCACTGAACATAATCTTTGAGGTTTATCTTTATTGTAGCAAGTATCACTACTTCATTTAGTAGGGTTGATTTAACTTAAATTGTACTTTGCTCCTGCTCAGAGTCAGTACATAGACCAGAGGTATACCTATTCGACTCAGCAGTTGAATTGACCCCCATATTGACCAAATTGACCCCCATATCCTTTTATTCTAAACACTGAACAGGCTCAATCTTATTTCACAGCAATATGGGAAGAGATAGAGGACAGCATAGTGAATGATGACAGAAAATAGACCATGAGAACCTTAAATGAACCCTAGATTCCCAATTCTGGGCCTTTTCCAAATAGTGATGGTGTCAAATAGAACCAGCAAGGCAACATAGGGCCCCCCACCAAACTGGTTTACTTCTGTTGCTGAGTACTTCTCAAACTGTCTTGAGGAAAGAACAGTTTTTTTCCTCTTTTTCATTATATGTAAATTACAATAACACTGAAGAATTACAAAGATGAAATAAAAAGACACAGAAAACCCAAGTCATTTTATCATTAAACTCAACAGACGTATGTAGGACCTTGTAAAATTGTTACAGAAGTTTCTAATGGACTCTCTGTTGTATTTATCTTATGGCCTGGTAACAAATGGTTCGCAGAGGGACCCCATCTTGCAGAAGACACTAAAGTTGCATAGATGTTGGTCATGACCAAGCCAGCAGGAGAAGTTAGGCATGAACAGAGACCCAAAAGGCTATTTTAATTGTATTTTTCACCCAAACTGTCTCTCATATGATCTCACACTTTATTTTCTCAAAACCCTTTCCATCTCCATCTCCACTCACTGCAATACAGAGTTTCAAAACTACCCTTATACTTTTTTCATTTGCTTGTGAGCTTGCTCATTTTTTATAATTAGCATGTAGAGGGGCTTTCACATTCCAGAATACCAGAAGGAATGCTTTTGCTGTCTTTCCTTGTCTGAGACCTCTCTTACAGTCTGTTGTTTTACATCTATGTCCTTGAATCCCCATATCCTTGTAATTGCAAGGATGTAGACTCTTCTCAGCCCCTGCCTCCTTATCTCATCTCTCTTCTATCACCCTGCTTGGTTCTCTTAAAACTACTAAATGCACTTATAAAAAATTCCTCCTGCTCAATACTCCTCATCATAACCCAATGAATCCCAAGAGATATTTTCACTGAGAGTACATATTTGCCTTCCTATTAAGTAGTCAAAGAAGCCCTTGAATCTCAGCAGAGATTAAAGGACACTCTGGCCAACCTAATGTACTTTCCGGATCTATCAGATTGAGAATGGCATTAAGAGATGGAAAGATGTGAATCTTTTGTTCCAGTGCCACATACTGTGTTATTAATAGTGCCACAGAGGACTTCTCTTTGAACTTGTAAAAGCTCAGGAATGCCTACCCTATCTTTCCTGTCACTAGTTTTCCAGTTTCCATGTAAATAAAATTGTTAGCCTGAAAAATAATGCCTCTATTGAGGAATAAGCAGCTTTGAACAAAATTGTGAAGTAGACAACGTGTGTTGGGCATATTTTTCTTCCTCTTTTTTAAGTGCAAACCTTCCTTTTTAGGGTGGTCAGCTCAGTCCTAACAACCAGCTGGAGATACAGATATATCCTGCAAACAGTGGTGTGCTATTCGAGGTCAGGTCCCCACCTTTGCTGGCCAGGTCAAAGGAAGTACTCAGATCCAGGGCTACTTTACCCGGCAATGTTTATTTATTTGTTATTTGCCCATTACAGGAGAAAGATGGTTTTGGCGCTGCTGAAAGCCCTTGCTGTAAACTCCTGTCTACCTAATGCCTTGTATGCAAGACAGTTCTTGCTCTCGTTTTCTTCACACACACCATCCTTCCCTTGTAGAAGACTATCCCTACCCCTCTCTACTCCTACCCCTCCACCATGGCTCCTTGTCATCACATGATGGATTGTGGGAAGTAGACATTGAATTTAGTGGGCAGGACATTCATTAAGGCACATCTCTGGGACGAGTACTTGAGGAAGGGAGATGGTAACTGGAATGAGAAGCACTGGAGCTGTGATGTACCTCCCGCCCCCCCCCCCCCCTCCAGCAATGGCTGTTTGCAACCCCACGGGGAACTGGGAGCTGGTATAGCCCTTCAGTGTTGTTCTCCGTGGGGCTGACGTGGCTGAGTCTTTATACTATTTCCCTTCATCAGTCACTAGATGTGGGCTGCCCTAGGAAGGGCTTGACCTTAGGTGACATGACTCTGCAACTCTGGCGGACCCTGAGAGGACTCACAGCTGCAAGCTGAGACAGCTGCAGCAACAAGCCCTTCCTTAAAGGACAATCTTGGTGCTGCATCCCCACGTCCATCATACCTTCTTTGCCCAGTTAACTCCTAGTCATTTTTTTTTCTTTTAAAGATTTTATTTATTTATTCATGAGAGACAGAGAGAGACAGAGAGAGAGGCAGAGGGAGAAGCAGGCTCCCAAGGAGCAGGGAGCCTGATGCAGGACTCGATCCCAGGACCCTGGGATCATGACCTGAGCCGAAGGCAGACGCTTAACCATCTGAGCCACCCAGGCGCCCAACTCCTAGTCATTTTTTGAAATCACTGCTTAAAGACATTTCAACCTTTTACTTTTAAAAACAGATGTAGGTATAGCTGTACACACACACACACACACACACACGTTTAAAGTGATTTTCTCTCTTAGGGACTGTAAGCCCAAAGGGTGGGAAATTATTCTGCTTTAAGACTCACCTCAGGTCCAGCTCAGTGTCTGACCAAAAGTTGGTCCTTAATAAAGATTTCTCGGTAATTATCTTTTAGGTAGGAAAAGAACTGATTATCTTACATTGCCCTTTATTATTATTAATTTTTTTTCTTAGCAACATTTGTACCCAGATAGAAGAAGCAATACCAGTGAGGCTGAGGCTGATAAGCTGAATTAATGACATAATGATGCTAAAGGAGTTTTGGATTGAATACCGTGTTGTCCTTTAACATTATGTGCATAGAGGGCAGTCTGGCCAAGCATTTCACAAATGAAACCCATTCATCATGGGAGGGTTGCCCGATCAGTTCAAATCACCACCACTGAGCCAGTAGGTGCTGAGTCCAGTCCTGGTTCAGCACAGGACACAAAAGTCCATGTCTTGCAATCACTGTGCTTGGAGATTGTGCACGTTATAACTTTAGAATATGATGAGAAAAATGATATATCTTATATAACTATTTGACCTATTTATTCACTGAGTAACTGACTAAATAAGCAGGTCAGGAAGGAATTAAGAAAACTGGATAATCCGCCTCTAAATAATAGATTTAGCTATCAAGGGATGGTGGTAAGCATATGCAAAGATTTTGCATCTTCAAATCATTACCACATTTACAAAGCATCATCTCAAATCCTTTTCAAGTATTTTTTAGTTAGATTTAACAGTCTCTCCTAAAATTTGCATTGACGCTTTCATAAAAAGATGACTAACATTGGAGATGTTAAAATATGTATTTTCCCCTGAGGCCTTTGTTAACTTCTACGTGGATGAAGAAGCAAAATAAAATGTCATATTTAGAATACACGATAAATATTCATCATCTAATCAAATGTTGGTAGTATATGGACCTCACACTTTCCAAAAAGAAAGCCCTTGGTGGTAAAAACTCATCACATTTACTTATATATTTCCTTCAGGTATATGATAAGGGGCCTGACTTATATTTAAAAAGTAGACCTGTTGAATCACAGACCTGTACCTCTGAAACAAATAATACATTATATGTTTTTTAAAAAAAAGAAGATAGTAGGAAAGGATAAATGAGGGGGGGAAATCGGAGGGGGAGACGAACCATGAGAGACTATGGACTCTGAGAAACAAACTGAGGGTTCTAGAGGGGAGGGGGGGATGGGTTAGCCCGGTGATGAGTATTAAAGAGGGCACATACTGAATGGAGCACTGGGTGTTATACGCAAACAACGAATCATGGAACACTACAAAAAAAAAAAAAAAAAATGAATAACAACAACAAAAAAGTAGCCTAGTAATTATGCTTTTACTAGAATATGTAGACAGTTTGTTCTATAATGTGTCACTGCATTCTTGAAACCTAGAGAAATGTTTAGAATGGATTTCTGCATCAGTTTAGTTAGAAGAATGAAACTTGGAAATACAGCATTTGCACAAAGCCTAGGAGAGAATCCAGTATACAGAGACTAATTAAAATAAAACCAAGAGTCTGGCCTTTTTCTCCTTCCCCATGGTCTGGGTTTCCATTTCTCTTCTGGCTTCAGGAAAGAGAGGGAGGGAGGCGGAGCTTCATGGCCCGCAGAACCTGACCCAGACCCCAACCCGAAACCAGACCAGAGCCTGGTGGCCGTCCAGGCTCCGCCCTCCCGCCGGCGCGCCGTCCTCTGCTCGCTCAAAGACCGCCTCCTGCTGGCGGCGTCGGGCGGGTCCTGGGTCACCTTTGCTGTGTGGCGTCCTCAGCGGCCGCCTTCCTGCCCGCGCCCCTGCGGGACTTCTGCAGGCCCTCTCCCTCCGCCTCGCTCATGCCCTGCGGCTGACAGTGGTAGGGCTCGCGCTGGCGCCTGATGGACTTCCTACGTAGTGCCACGGCGGTCCTCGTCTATCTCGCCATCTCCCTTGCAGCTGTCCCCAAATCCTCGCACGGGGCTTTCAGGGCAGCCGGGGCCCCTGGCTTCTTTGCCACCATCCTACCTGCAAGGGGCTTCTACGTGATCTTTAACCACGGGGCCAGAGTCCTCAGACGAGGAGGCACTGCAGGCGACAGCCAGAAAGGCCGAAGAAGTGCCGACTCTAGACTCTGAAGTCCCGCGAGTGCTCAGGCAACCTGAGCCACACGGGGCCGTCAGGCCTGCCCCTGTGGGGAGAGTGCGGCCAGGGGACAGTGTGTGCTGGGACGGGGGCTGGGACTTCTCGAGGAGCTGCAGACAGAGCGGCCCGCCCACAGCCCCACGGTGACTGCACAAAACGGCACCACTTGGCCTAGCACCGCCTAAGCACTGTGCGTGTGAGGGCATCCTGAACGTTCCTCCCCTTCTCCCTATGTCTGCTGCACAACTTTAAGCCCTTAACCTTTCTGCCGAAAACAAGCGCAAGGGGACAATGCAGTTAGAGCCTGTTACCCCATCACAGGAAGCATTTCGTGCTGCAGGAGGAGGGAGGGTTGGGGGTGCGAGGACCAGTAAGACAGCCCTCCAGGCACCGGCGGGTTTGTCTGCATTTGGTGCTCCTGCTCATACCAGGCACTTTGTCGAGAATGATCCTTCCAAGATTCTTTTGTTCAGGGAGTACCAGGTCCCTCTTCATTCTTCATACTGACCTTTGCCCTGTCATCTAGGAGAGAGTGGGTCTCCGTGACAGTACCTGATACCTCACATTTTGGGAGACCACGCCTTCTTCAGGTGACATGACTCTTCTGAGTCTAAGGCTGTTTCAATGAAAAGCTCATAGATTAGTTTATCAGGTCCAAAATATCAAGACCACCATGAAATAACAGTGACAGCGTCTGGGTCACTGGGCAGGCCCAGCCACTCTTTTCCCCCGGGGGCGACCAGCGCTGTGCTTCTAGACACCAGGACAGGTCTCTCACTACCTCTGGAGAGGTAAGATGTGCCTTCTGTGTTCATCTAAGGACGTACGCTGTGTATGTACCGTCAATGGGATTTTGTAACATATTTTTTTTTTTATACAAAAGCAGCTTCTTAAATGGCATTTCCTGTGACCCAGGAGGATTCAGGACGCTTCATACACGAGCCAGAGTTCTGGACCCATGTTTTGGGCATTTGAAACCTTTGTTCTCTTGCATGTGAAGCTCTTTCCTGAAAAAAGCTGTAACAAATTAAACCAGACTGACAACAAACAAAAACAAGTGAACATAGAAACTCAAGGCAATATATTCACAGCTTTTAGGGATAAATACTTCCTGTTTTGTTGATTTTTTTTTGTTCTTTATTTTAAATAGGCCAACTCATTTTTCTGCTCTATTTTTTTTTCATTTTGGTCAGTAAATATAATTTGCATTAAGTTATAGTATAAACCTAGGGATTTTATTTTACTATAGTTGTCCTTTGATTCTTAAAACAACCTTGTATGTATAAGAAACAGAGGCCTAAAAAAGATTAAATTACGTTTGTTAATATTGTATTAACACACTTTGTTAATAGCAAAGGCAAAATTTGAACCTAGGTTTAAATAAAGTAAGCTCATTCTCTTAGCCACTGCCATTCTTTCTGTCCTAAAAACACTAAAATTAAGTCCTTGCTCAATAACAAGTCCGATGATTTTGTACACTCTTCTCTAGTATATCCATTGAAAGTTAGGAGTACAAAATTAATAGTTTAACGTAGGCAGAATCCAGGAGTTGATATTAAACGTGTACAATGAATGGTGTATCATGACACCAACCAATCAGAATAGATTCCTAACTAATTAGCATGGACTCCGTCCTGGTAGAGTCTATTATTTCTCATTACTAATTGACTCTAAAATTTCTATTACTTTTTACTGAAGATTAGGATATTTACATTTGAGTTTGTGTGGGTCTTGTTCAGGGAATGCATTTTCTTATGAACATTTCTTTTCACATGTAGGTCAAAAATGTAATGAAAAATATCATGGCTGGATTGCAACAAACCAACAGTGAAAAGATTCTCCTGAGCTGGGTCCGACAATCAACTCGTAATTACCCACAGGTTAATGTCATTAACTTCACCACCAGCTGGTCTGATGGGCTGGCTTTGAACGCTCTCATCCACAGTCATAGGTAAGGAGACTACTGAGATACTGACTGATTTTTTAAGTATTGATTTAGAGACTGATTATCTTTTTCTCCAGTGTGGTTCCAGCTCATTTCCTACTATGTGACATGTTGTGTATTTAACCATATTGATCTATCCATTGGAATGCACTGAATAAGAATATCCTATTTTTTATGCTATATATCATTTATTAAAATACTGGAGCATGAATGTGGTTATGGTGGGAGGGGGAGGGGACCAGCATGTTTGAATTTGGGACTCTGCCAGAAAATCAAGGTTATATTCTAATTTGGCTAAGAATGAAGTTGGTCTTTCTAAATAAATAATGTGTTAGCATGGGCCTAAACAATAGAGCTAAAATGGTTCCAAATCTCATGTGAGTGGCTGTAGCAAAATTAATTACTATCATCCGATTAATAATGTGAAAAAGAAACATTTCTCTTGTCAGATACACACTTAGATAGCAAATACGTAAGGCCTTGTGTATTTTTTTTTATATGTATTTCAGGATTAAAAGAGGCTCGGAGCATCTTAGCAACCAAGGCAAAGAGCAGACCACAATTAATTCTATGATTCAGTGCTTAGAATATCAAAAGAAACAATTGCTCTGGAACAGCAGAGCAATTGCTGTTAAAGCACTGAAAGAGAGTTTTGTGGCTCTTCATAAAAAGAACTCATTGTGATACAGTGAACCAAATGTTCTTAACTGTATGCCATACACTATTATATTTTCTAAGATAAAATAGTTGTTTGCTTTTTTCTTGTATAAAGAAGCTTAATAAAGGAATTATTAACAGTTCAAGAAAAAGCAAAACAGCATGGGAAATACGTACATATAATGCATTCATTTATATTATATGTAATATATAAATATATATTCTATATACACTACATTCACTCTAAGGGATATCTGCTTTGGTTTTCCTGTTACCCATCTCTTTTATCCAGCCCAATCCCCAGGGTCAAAGGCATCGCCTTATTAACTGTGTTTGAAATGCCACTGGACCGCATCCGCCCTGATTTTCAATGCAGCTTATCTTTGCTCACTTTGATCTTTCTTTTCTTGACGAGTCTCCCATTTCCCTATGTTGGTCTTGTTTCTAGAAAAGTCCAGAATATACACTTTCTTAATGCTAAAGCTTCATCCAAGAACAAATGCTCTCTCACTAAGCAGCTTTGTCAGGTGTCTTGATCCAGCTGGATTTAATTAACCCCATCCAGACTGAGTTTCCAGGTGAATGACTCAGCAACCCGATTTTCAAAAGGAGGCAAGCTCACACTCATTTGGCATGTTAAGCAGTGTTAACACGTTGTTTTTCCTAAGTATGACACGAAGAAAAATACAGCACAGCTTCAATACAGCCAGATGAGAAGGAATAGAGGCATTCATTCTGCATTATAAGTCAGTGCTGATTTAGGCAGCCACATGCTTCACAGTAAGGGCCTGAACATATCGATCTTGCTGTTCATGTACACGTTTGCAGATGAACAGAAATATCGAGGATCAGGTTATGCGGTCCTTGTTGGCTCTTCAGCATTTTCTTTTCAAGTGGAAGGCTTCAGTCCTGCCAGCGTGTTCACATACTACGTTTGTTAATATTGTATTTCGTGATTTCTGAATATACTTGTAATACAGTAAACATTTCCAGGTTGCCCTGCTGCATCTGTCCCTGACCCACTCTTTCTCTCTCAGAATATCGTTTATATCTTCTCTCCTGTCTTATTGAATGAATCATCAGTAACTACCTTTTCATACATACCATAGTTATTTTTCAAGAGGTTTCTCTGGGTTGATAATGCTCTTTCATGAATCATCTCCCTCTTCTTTTTCTCTTTGACTTTGGATAAAAGAGATGGGTAACAGGAAAACCAAAGCAGATATCCCTTAGAGTGAATGTAGTGTATATAGAATATATATTTATATATTACATATAATATAAATGAATGCATTATATGTACGTATTTCCCATGCTGTTTTGCTTTTTCTTGAACTGTTAATTCCTTTATTAAGCTTCTTTATACAAGAAAAAAGCAAACAACTATTTTATCTTAGAAAATATAATAGTGTATGGCATACAGTTAAAGTCATATTGTTCATATTGTTTATCTAAAGAAAAAAATGCTCTGAACTTTCTGTTCGAAGGTGATTATCATTGGTACAGTTAGGAATGTCATGAGGTGTTCTGATTTCAATAATTGAGTGACTAAGCTCTATAGAACAAAGGCATGCACTTAATATAGAGCATAGGGATTGACAACGAGTCTTGCCAAAGATTAGGATATTGCTAGCTTTATATCTGTTTAAGGCTAAATTTTATCTTACTATGTAGGAAATTAGAAGTATTGTATTAAAACAATGTAGACTACAGTGCACTTAAAAGGAAGCCAGATTCTGGGGCGCCTGGGGGGCTCAGTCCTTAAACATCTGCCTTCGGCTCAGGTCATGATCCCGGGGTCCTGGGATCGAGCCCTGCATCAGGATCCCTGCTCAGCGGGAAGCCTGCTTCTCCCTCTCCCACTCCCCCTGCTTGTGTTCCCGCTCTCACTGTGTCTTTCTCTGTCGAATAAATAAATAAATAATCTTTTTTTTTTTAAAAAAAAGGAAGCCAGATTCTACTTTTTTGGGAAAACTAAATGATAATTGGCTAGAAATAGCTCAAAATATATAAGTTGCAAGTAAGTATAATGTTACAATTAAATTTTCTTCCTAATTCTTCATTTTAACTTATTACCATAGAGACAACATAACATGTGGTTAAAAAAAAAAGTGAGACACTGGGGGGGCGGGGTGCAAAGGAAAAAAAAACAAAATAGAATGTGTCTTCATGACCCCAAGCCCACCCCATCGCCATCCACTTCCTACAAGTGGTTACGGTCAGGAACTTCTTTTATTCTTTCTCATGGTTTTCATAATTATGTATTTTTATTTCCTGAATAACTGGTGTCTGACACTAGATGGATTTACTCCTTGATATGAAGCCCACAAATATTATCTCTTATCCCCATCTGTTTCCTAATTTGATGACTGTAAAATAATTTCATTCTTTTAAAAATTTTTTTAAAGAATTTATTTGAGAGAGAGAACATGCACAGAGGGAGAAACAGACTCCCTGCTGAGCAGAGAGCCCAACATGGGGCTCGATCCCAGGACCCTGGGATCATGACCTGAGCCGAAGGCAGATGCTTAACCCACTGAGCCACCTAGGTGCCCCTAATCGTTTCATTTTTAAAATTGTTGCCTGCTTTACTTTAAGTGGTCTTGCCGTACCTTGTTTCATCAGGTTTAGACAAGATCTGTTGACTACCTGATATAACAGATGACAAAATTACTACACTTGTAGTTCCTCCTCTTCTCTCCTCGCCACCTTCCATTTTATTATAATATTCTTAGAAAAATTTCTTTTGAGTATAGTTGACACGTAATGTTGTATTAGTTTCAGGTGTACAACATAGCAGTTCCACAGCTCTAGACATGATGCTATGGCCCCCACGAGTGTCGCTACCGTCTGTCACCATGCAACGCTATTACAGTATCATTGACTACATTCCCTCCGCTGTGCCTTTTATTCCCATGACTTATTCATTACATGACTGGAAGCCTCTATCTCTCATTCCCCTTCACCCATCCCACCCACCACCCTCCTGTCTTATAGTATTATTCTTGCATCAACAGTGTCTGTAACATTTATATATGTAGGTTATAGGTGTTTTTGACATGAGTCTATACATTGAAAATGCATTAGTTATTTCATAAATATAATTAACCTTAGAACACAGTAATGAAAGTTGATGTTTATTAAGTTAATGTTATTTTGTAGCCACTTTTCTAATTAAAATAGCCCACCTGTTTCTCATGACATAGACACTATAATTAGTCCCATTGCGCATATTGGGAAACTGAGGCACAGAAAGGGTGCATTATTTACCTAAGACCATTTGGCTAATATGTGGTACAGCCAGGATTTGAATTTATAGAGGACTCTGCTTATCTACTAGGCTATGTTGTCTTATTCAATTTGTCTGTTTCCTCAAAAGACTGGTGAACTTTGGTTGCAGGTTCCTATTTATGGGTTCAGGTTTGGGTTAGCATGGGAAGGTATGTAGCTTTCTTCTGCAGTTGGTTAGTCTTAAAATTCTTTATGCATTTGGAAATCATAGTTGTTTAAAATGTTAATTAATGATGAATTTTAATGACTTAAAACCATTTTAATGTTAGAGGAAACCTCAAAGGCCATTTAGTACATTTCCTTCTTTTTTAAATGAAAACACTGAAGCTCAAATAGATAACATGACTCAGACAGCTCCTCACCCAGGTGATTAGCTCATGGCCAAGAGGAGAAGGGGATGAAGGGAAAAGGGTTAGAATGAGGAAGCAACTGTATTCTTTTTCATCCTCCTTATTTAACCTTGTTGATTGTACTGCAGGTGAGAAAGCTAGTTTCCCACACTCTCCCACCTATATTCTTTCCTGCTTCCCTTGCTGAGGGATGTAGAAAAGAAGGTAGGGCAGAGGTTGCATAGTGAAGTTAAAACTTCCCCAAATAGTTTAGAATTTAATTTGTATTTCTTATAGTCTTTCCAGTACTAGAGTCAGCTCCCAACTTATTTTAGGTTCTAAAATATCGTTAGCTCTTTTGGGTAACTTGGAGTATAGAGGGCACATTAGACTTCCTAAGAAGCAGACAAAATTCTGGTAAATTAATCAGGGTAGCATCAAGTAAAGAAAAGGAAATGAGAGTCAAATGAGCAAGTTGTACCTTTATTTTCAGTTGTGGTTTTTGAAAACAACAGTTAAGACCATCCTTATAATTTCCTTGCTTGCAGAGCATGAGTTCTTAAACAGGTGTCCATTGACAGACCCAGTTGTCCTAAAATTCTACGTAAGTTATGTGTAAAGATATGGACAGGTTTGTGTATGGATACAAGTTTTATAGTGCTCATCAGATTCTCAAAGGTATCTGTGTTCCAGAAAAGGCAAAAGGCAAAGAACCACTGGACTAATGGTTTCCAGTCTTGTTGGGGTGAATTGTAATTCCTTATACAGGCAAGGCTTTCACAAACTCATCCCAGTTCCCCTTCCTAGGAACGCTATCTCCCACCCCTTCTTGATACTGAAAATCTCTCAATGGAGCGAGGCCTGTGAGGTCTGATTGACTGAGCACATTCTGCTTTTTTCTTCCATAAGAACTTTGGTGATTTTTCAATATCCACACAACTCAGAATTACCTTCTCAAAAACTTCTTGAATCTAAACCCAAACCACCTTAAGCCTCAAAAAAATGTTTCTTGACCTCTTCAGATTTTAGAAAACATTCTATCTTATTATCTGTATTTTTTACATTTAGAATTTATTTTAACTTACGATGTGTGCATTTTTTCCTTATTAAATTTTAAGTCCATATAGGATAAGAACTCCCTCTTATCCTTCTTCGTGTTTTCTCTATTATCAAGTAAAATGATATTCATATAGTATGTTCTCATCTAGTCTCTGGTTGCATGTCAACAAAATTTATCGATTCAACACATATTTAGTCAACAAATATTTATGGACTATCTCCTATGTGTCAGGCTGGGTTTCTAAAAGTGAACAAAACTGGTGAAAAAAAATTGTATATTCTGCATTCTAGTGGGGGAAACAGATAAATAGACAAGATTAATTAAATATATAAAATATTAAATAATAGTAAGTGGTGATGAGAAAGAAAGGGATAAGAAGTGAGTATGTTTAAGTTTGATTTGGGAGTGTGCAATTTTAGATGGGGAGAGGGCAAGGAAGGACTCACCAATAATGCAACTTTTGAGGAAAGACACAAAGGATGTGGAGGAGTGAGCCATGTCCATGTCTGGGGGAAGAGAATTCCAGTCAGAGAGCAGCACATGCAAATACAGAAGCTACTTAGCCTGCTTGAAGAATAGGAGGAGAGAGTCAAGGAATCAAATCAGATGGTTAACAGGGAGCCAGACCATGTAGGGCCTTGTAGGTCACAGTTAAATCAATGAATTTTACTCCCTGGTAGCAGGGATTTGAGAAGAAGTTTATGATGAAACATTTTAACAGATCACTCTGGCAGCTTTGCCAAGAATAGATTAACAAGGGCAAGAGTGGGAGTAGGGGAGCAGTTAGAAAGTTAATGCAATAAATAATCCACACAAGGTAAAATGGTGGTTTGGGTGGAGGTGATGGCTGCAAGGGTAATGAGAAGTGGTCAAATTCTGGATATATTTCCAACTAAGTGTTGTATGAGAGTGAGAGTCATCAAATTAGACTCTTAAGATTTCTGTCTGAGCCACTGCAAGTTTGAACTTGTCCTTGATTATTGAGGAAAGGAGAGCTATAAGAGAAGTAGGTGGGTTGGGGGAGTAGGATGGAGATGAGTACCAGAAGCTCGTTTTGGACACCTGAGTCTTGTGATGACTCTAAGTGGAGATACTGAATAAGCAGATAAATCTAAAGTCTGGAGTTCAGGGAAGAGGTCTGGGCTAGGCTTATGAAATTGGAAGTTACCAGCAAATGGTTGGCATTCAAATTTCTGACACTGGATGACATCAATATATTTTTGTTACTTGGCAAGGGAGAATAAATTCTCCTTTGTTTTCTTCAGGATTTTCAAGTAAAATTGTGACTTGTTAAATGGAAAGCGTTATTGAGGGGTTATGAAGAGTAGCACTCAATTCTTGAGGATATGGGCATGGGTTGTCAATTAAAAATCAGAAATGAAGTGAATCTCATGAAACATTGTAAGTTGATTTATATTTGGTCTTTATGTGTGTGTATTTCAGGCCAGACCTGTTTGATTGGAATAGTGTGGTTTGCCAGCAGTCAGCCACACAGCGACTGGAACATGCATTCAACATTGCCAAATATCAATTAGGCATAGAGAAACTGCTTGATCCTGAAGGTTGGTACATTTCTGGACTACCACAGTTTTTAGTATAATTTAATATTTATCGTCTCAGATTTAACATTTCCACAAACTAAGTACAAAAGAGAAATTATGCATTATATGTTTTTTCTATATCCTGAGTGTATTTAAAATGTTCTTCTTGCAACGTATTATGAATTATCTTATATGATTTTAGCTCTCAAAGTACCATTATCTAAAACTGAAGTGTAAAACTTGAGAAAAAATCCCAAGCCTTTAAAATGTATATGTCTCATGGATGAAGGATATTACATTTGAAGTACATTGACTCCAAATAGTTATAAAAAGTTCATGTTTTGCTTATTCTACCAAGAGATTTGATAGACTAATCAGCTATAATTAATTAGCTACTCTTGCCAATTTCATTCATATACTCTATAAAAGGCAACATGGTTTACTCTTTAAATCAGGAAATCTATTCCTGGCACTGCTTCTGTTATAATTTGTCACTCTGGGGGAAGTCCTCCATTGGACGGTTATTCATTTTCTGCTTCTTCAGTTGACAGGCAGTACTGTATTTATATTTTTATTATATTACACTTAAGTAAATTTCATCATTATCTCTGGTGCTACATAGTCATACTTTCCAGACACATGGATTAGAGGGATAATGATTCTTGACCTCTGCTTTTCTTCTAAGCTATGAGGCACTTTTTTTGTTTGCCGACTTGTTTGAAGTTGCAGACTCTGTTCTCACTTTCTTGAGGCTTTCCCATATTCTAAAACTACAGTTTGGAGAAGCAGTGTCTGTGGAGCTGATATTTGGGTAGGGTTATGTAATTAAATGGTCTTTGGAATAGTGAATCAGTCCAACTAAGGAGATCAAATGGTGGTAATAGGGTCTCATCAGGAAAAGCTCAGAAATAACTCCGAGGATATTCTTTCAGTGGTGAATTTATCATCCACTAGAATCTAATCCTCTGTTACAGACCTGATTACCTCATCTTGTTGACAGCAGATCCATATGGTGGCATTGGGGGGGGTGCATAATTTTAAGCTCAAAAGAGGATATATCAATCAAAATGAAAATTCAGTCATTTTAAATGAGATATTTAGCTATGACAAGAACCAGAATACTCACATGTAACTGACTGATATATTGCTCTTGGTAGGCACATATACTTGGGAAGGAAAATTATAATAGCACAAATGTGTTTGTGAGGTTGAAATCAGATTAAGTTCATTAGCAATATTTCTTCTGCTTTAAATAATGCATAATTTGGCACTGACTCCTGTAAACTCTTTGTGTTGCTTCAATAAATGATTAGCATCCCTCCTTCCCCGGTTTAGCTCTAAGGAAGAAATTGTATCAGTCATATTTCCTTGTTTTGCAGGATGGGGGAGGGTTACCTCACTTTTGACTCCCATACTGATTTACATGTTTTTTCATACTCCATTGAGGTAGAGAAAGGCAGATGTAATGAAAATATGAACTCTAACCCTTAAGGATAAGAGCTACAGTGTATGGATTTGAAGGATAAGCCTGCTAATAGTGTTTTGTTTTTCATTAAACCTATACACGGTAAACAGTTCCCAATATCTGGGATATATGCTCTAGTTATTCTTGTGTGTGTCCTATCCTTCATAAAATAGTAAGAGTAGGTTTAAAATAGATCTTTTTCTTGTTAAGTGATAAAATGGCTAAAATGGCTTTTGTTCTTAAGTTTTCCTTTGAATCAGTGAAATAGGGACACCAAATAGGTATCCACATCATAATCAGAAAATAGATTGATAAGCCTGTAGTCAGGAAAGGGCAGTTACATGAATGATGTATTTTATAGTATCAAATAGCCTGATATACCCAATTCCATACATTTTCCTAAATGGACAGTATATGTTGAAATGTACATCCTGTAGACCATTATAATATCTCAAATAATTCAAAATCAACCAAATATAAAATGAAATACAAGCTGATTAATAGAGAGCAAACCACTGGTTATGGTTTCATTTTGCCAATAAAGTCTTCGATCTGAAAACCCTTTCTGTTCATGGGCTCCTTTCTAATTCAAAGAGCATTCTGTCTCCTAAAATGGTTTATTACAGTTTATTTATGGCTCTCAGTAGGACGAGGATTCAACATAAATCTTACATTATATTTTTAGGTATATGTCAGTTCCTGCCATTGTGTTAAGGAAATACCCAAATATGCATCTAGAAATTGTTCAGAATTTTTCTGGAGATGATAACAATGATAATTGAAAGAAAAAAGATATTAAACTAAATCATAAGGATTTTTATTCACTAATTCATTAGTCACAAAATAATAGCATTTCTAAGAGTTTAAGACTTAGAACACTTTCTTCAGTGTATCTAACATGGGAGATTCATGGACTTCTTTCATGCCTTGTATGGTAATTACCTTTGAGATGTTCATATTTTTATTTAACCGGGTATTCGTTCTTTAGCTTATGCATGATGATGTCAGCTATTCTCCCACAGCGATTTTCATTTCATATCTAATATGCTTTTTAGGAGGTTAGTAAAACATTTTGCTTTATGTTTGGGGAGATTTTTATTTTGGGGGGCTTGAAGTTATGTTTGGCTTAAGAAATACCTGCCAAAAAATGTTTTTAGAATTTTAAACGTATGCTTTGCTAACTGGGCTGATTTATAAATTAAAAAGTCATTGAAATATAATTTGGAGGTTTTCATGTCTTGCATATATTGACTTTGGTACGCTTTGTTTGGCTTTAACTGGTGTTTTGAGTCCTGAGGTTTGGTTTTAAGAGGAATTGCCTTTTAAAATGAGTAGCAGTAAGCATTACCATAAGCAATTCCAGGAGCTCTTTCTGCTGTGTTTAAATGTTAACATATGCAAAAATAAGTACTACTAGGGTAAAATTATTTAATAATTTATGTGTCTTTATGCTCATAGATACAAAAGGTTTGTCTCCTTCAAAATATATCCTGTTGTGAATCAGGCGATTCATTTTCTGTCACGATTTCCCTATAAGACATGCTTACTACTTGCATTGTGGGTTTTATATACCCACAATTACTGTTTGCTTCCCTGAGTTTCAAGAAATTAGTTTGTTTGCCAATCCACACAGCACTCTCTGCATTAAGAGAATGCTTTGTCAGCTTTTTCATGTGAATAACAAAGTGAAGCTAATCTTTTTAAAGGAATAAAAAAAAATCGGGGATAAAAATTGTGCTGGTTCTAGATATCTTTTGCATGTTACTGTTGTAAATTGTTTCCATTTGGGATATGCAGTATAATGTGGAAATGCCCTCACTTGTTTACCAGGGTAACTTTAGAATGAAAGACAATGAATGATGAGAGTCAAATTTGAGGAACACTATGGCTTGCAAGAAATATCTGTAACCTCAAAATGACATTTACAAGCCAATTAGTTTGGTTTTAATTCACTTCATTTTAACTTCGTGAGGGTGGTGACACAGATTGTATTTTCTGCTTGGCTAATCCCTGCATCCCTCTTCAGTTGTTTTTAGAGTCTACTTTTCCCAGAATAAGCTCTGCCTTGTGCAAAGTTATACTCTTGAAATGAATGGTTTCAGACTTAACTTTGTATCCATGCAGTTTATTAGCCTTTAAAAAATTCAAGGGAAAATAGGTGGCATTTGCCATAAAAGAGAAGAATGCTTTTAAGGCCTCTTATTTATCTGTTGTTTGAGCAAGCAGTGTTTTTTGATTCCCTAACAGCAAGAAATATTAGTAAGTAGTGTATACTAAGTTAAAACTGAAAGAGGAAGACCGTATCACCTCAGAAGGGTGTTGTTAACTTAAATAACCAGAACTTTTTATGGACATGCATGCTCATTTCATATCATTTGGACTGATTTTCCAGAACCCACTCTAGAATACCTTTTTATCCCAGAAAATGTAATGAGATTGGAATATATTTGTGTTCCCTATGTATATGATTTCACCTAGAAATTTTTATTGTAAGTATCTCAGATTCTTTAGAACCAAACTCTCTGTGGTGTAAAATGTTCCTTTTCCCATATATTAAAAAAAAAGTATTTTAGTAGTACATGGGAATAAAAATGGCCATTGCCTTTTTGATAACAAAGTAACCTGTACAAGATATATGTTACTCTGTGCCTTTCTAAAATTGATTTATATCATTATCTCTGGGAGAGAGTCTTTAGAGATATTACAAGTTGTTACTATCTAAGACTAAATCCTGAGTGTCTTGGAAGAACATTTTTTTAGTCTAGTTATTCTGTTATGGAAAATGGAAAGTATCATCTTCTGCTTATGCAGATATGATAATAGCAAAATAATGTTCCTATTATGTCAGCAGGAGACCACTTTTTCCAGGATTTCTTTTTTAAAGAAACATTAAAATTTGATCATTAAAATCAAATTATATCATTTAATTGTGTTAAATGTAATAATAATGAAAATATTTCTTTAATTTTGAACTTCAGTGGATTGCCATTGGAATGAGCAAATTAGAAATGGTGTTGTATTAGCAAAGGAATGGGGTACATTAGTAAATTTAGTGTTGCCATCTCATTTACATAATGTATATTGAGCACAACCTTTTAGCAAAGGAATTTTGGAAACACTGTTAAATAATTTAAATGTATACTTTCATTAGCATTGCTTAGAACAAAGACTAGCATCGGTATCTAATGAGGCTTTAGGAAAACTGAAGGCCAATGCACAAGTCCCGAGAAATGTGATTAACATATTCTTAGCCTGCATATCATCAGAGTAAGGCTACTTATTAGTATATCCTTGACTGTTTTTAGGTTTTACCCTGGACCTTACTTTTTTTTGGTACAACATGTCTTTTCCATGGGCAGACACATTACATAACTAGCCTTGACTATCCAGTGCCACTTTAATATACTTTAATGTGTTTCAGTTGAAGATGACTTTACCAGGGTATCTGGAGGCATCCTTAGTTTTATCACTGCTACTGTAGAAAAAAAAAATCTTTAAGGGACAATGAGGCAGTACTTTGTGTATGAAAGTAATACATAGCAAAATAAGTAAATGA